GAATCCTTCTAGTAACAGTTTTGTTTGTTCTTTGAAAGTTTCAGTTATTTGAGGTATGGTATTGGGAATATCCATCGGAGGATGGGCAACCACCGGCCAAACTTTATATGGATCCCGGAAAGATTGTATGGTTTCGAGTCATCGAAAATGTCTTCAGGTAGTTTCAGCGAATAATGTTTGTTTTAGTTCGTTTATATTCTAATCATCGAATGTGAACTCGACAGCTTGAAATATGAATTTCATGGTTTCATTTGTACTCGTTTGCTTTCTGCAGAAATTAGCAATGATATAATGTGTAGTTGTTAAAATTCTGCCGGTTGCATTTCTTTTAAAAAAAGAATTATTTGAAGGGATGTTGATCCGGACGCGAGTGAAGATGACAAGAAAAAAGCGAAATCATACGAGATAATCGGATCAATGTCTGAGACCGGTTTGGGTTGTGTGGTTTGGTGGGTACAGGCCGAGGAAGGCGCTGAATTTGAGGATGAAGAAGAGGGTGAAGGCGACGGCGATGGAAACAACCAAGAGGGCGGAGAGGAGACCTAGCTGCCGTCATATGCGGTTCTATGCTTGTTTGAGGACGACTTTCTCAATGTGATAGCCAGTTTCATGTTGTCCGCATAAATTGACGATGTGAAATAGCTGAATCGAATGAATTCAAAACAACACTGGAAATTTTTTTCAATTTATGAATATATTTTTGGCAAACTTTGGGCAAATTTTTATTTAATGGTGAATATTTTGTTGGCCGAATACAAAACTGTGACGATGTTGGTCTAGTTGATCGGCAATACGATAACATTAAGAAGCACTCATTAATTGTTCACTGATGAGACTTTGAAGTCTAATTTTGTGATCAATTTTCCATCTTCCGGTTGTATTTATCGCTATCAAAGTATGCCAGTCAGTGTATTTTGAAGTTTCAAGTCTAAATTCACACGTTTCACTAGTGTAAACATGGTCTATTTGACTATTGGTTGATTTCATTCGGTTCAAGCGAAGTGATATTGTTTCGACAGAATCTAACATTTTTTGATGTTGTACAGTTTAAATTGTGTGTTATTATTGTATGGCTATATCTTAGCTAATTGTTATGCATTGTTATATTGTTATCGTTGTTGATTCATTCATGTTTTTATTCAGATTTGTTTTATTACTCGTCATCAGCCAATACTGTGAAATTTGTTTTAGTTTTCTTCCGTATTGATGAGGATTTCTTCAATAAATCTCACTGAATCACTCTTGAAATCATGAGTTATAATGTGACTTTAGGAATGCGTTTGTATTTTTTGGAATAATTAGTTTCCTTTTGAAATATATGAATCTGCCTTTTGGTAGCTCAGCAAATGCTTTATGCGATAGTATCAAAATATATTTGGTGCTTGATCAAAGATATGATAATTTATTTAAATCCCTAAATTCGCGCATTACGCAAATATACACTTTCATGCATAGAACTACTGTTTGAAGTGATGTCCAGAACATACGTACTTATGTTGTAGTTCAGTTGGTGCTATACTCAAAATATTCATTTCTTGTACTGTCGATGAGAATTTATTGTATAAATTATGAAAACATGTTCATCAAGAAATTCAGTAACACATCGAAATATAATGGCTTGACAATTTTGCGAATGAGCAAAAAACAAATATATTCACGAAAACAAAACCAATTTATTTACAAACATCATAAATGAAAACGTGAATTGTGTTGCATTGTCGCGTAGTGAAAGTAATCGTTGTTTTTTTTTGAATGAATGTTTAAAAAGGCATTCGCTGAAGAAACGCGATTACAACAGCAATAAATTGAATTAATTTGCAATGGAATCCTTTTGTTAGGACACGAGAAATAGTATTCGAGATGCTCTGAGGTAGTCGGTTATGAGTTGAGCCATACGAAAAGATCATTATTTGGGCAATTATTCAGTCGAATCATCGGAAACTCGAAAATTTCTCCTTTTATTCTGGGCTTAAACCGATATTCTGGCCATTGCTGAATGTTGAATGGTCAAATCCGAGTGACATGATATTCAGTCGGTCAAATCCGAGTGACATGATATTCTTAAGTAATTGCGCGACTGTCATCTCAACAATAATGATAATAACA